ACCTCTCTGTGTTACTGTTAGGGCGCCACAGGTGTTTGCAAAGAGTAGAGCATCTCTCAATCGCTTCTCGTCCTGTTAAAGCGACAAAGGAAACTAAGAAGTTAAGGTTTCCAATGTATCAATCAACACTTATGTTCTTTTTGAGGCTAATAAATAAATAAATAAATAATTAATTAATTAACACTTAAATATACTCAACCAATTGTCATCTAAGTTTGCTTTTCTTTTTCTCTCTTTTTGCACTTTTATTAGTTTTAACTTCTTTGCCTTGTGCTGACCACTACTACACATAAATGGATTCTGAAATCAAACAGCCAAACAAGTTTGCAGAATGCAGACAAAGTAGTAGTTTAGTAGCAACTAATGCATGATTTCCCAGTTCTCAACTAGATTTAGATGATTGCTACCGAGTTAAGATGCAAACATTTAATCCTTGATCATCCTCATCCCTTTTTAAAGATCACTACAATTGTACTTATATTGATTTCAGTAGTAGTAAAAATGCTGATTTTAGGTCCTTCTGTGATTCATATAGAATAAATACGTTCAGATTTTCAGAATTAAGCAGTAAGAAAGAATATGGTAGTATAAATATCTGCCTTGATGAGAATAATAGAGGTACCTCAAATATCCTTGAGTCAGAGGCTATGCTGCTCAGCATCCCACCCACAAATGCATCACCAGCACCAGTTGTGTCGACTGGTTTAGCTTTAACACCAGGAACCCTACCCTTAAATGCCTGCAATAGGATTTTGATCGATTAGAAAGTGTTTTATGAAAACAGAATCATATCATAGTACTAGACTTAGCAACCATTGTGCTCCTTCATCATTGTTTATTAGAAAAAACATATCTCATAGCATTTACATGGCCTACAAAATTCAAATCAGGCCATTCACTCTGTAAAAGGCCTTTGTCTTATGAAATGAACTTTATTAATAAAGACAGCCAGTATAATTTTTATTTTATCACAGGGTTCAATTAAGACAGATACTTTTATTTTAGAAATGCCATTAAAAGAAGTATATTGGAGTGCAGGGAATTCTGTTTCTGGAGGAAGGCTTAAAATCAAACACAGAAGAAAATAATCTCACCTTGGTATAATATCTACAGCCGTCAGAGCCTTCAGTTACAACCAAAAGTTTAAGGTTAGGGTGAAAAAGCTTCTGCAGTACCACATTATCATCATAAGGATCATCACCTCCAGTTAAGAATGAAATTTCCTCCTCGCTTATCTGCCATTCAACAGGATAGCTGCAAGGTAAGCTCAATGTAGCACACAATTGAATTTCTTTCCATAGTTATTAAAATAGGGAGCTATAATATTTGCACTTGTGCAGGGGCATGTCATGTCTGATCTCACATACAAATCCGTGTACCTTAATAATATCTGCCTGATCCCATACACTCATTATGCCCATCCGAGCAGCCTCAGCTGATGGCCAAAGTGGCAATCTTAAATTTGGATCATAAGAGAGAATGCTACCAGACTTTTTGGCAATGCTCATTGCAGCAAGTTGAGCTGTCCTGCATGGTTCCGCAATCAAACTAATGGAACCATAATGAAAGATCCTGGCCTGTTACCAAATAAATTAAAAATCAAGAACTACCAAATAATCCTTCATGGCATTTTCTGACTAAACTGAAGGTGAAAGGAAGTCACCTTCTTGACAAGGTTTATATCAAGCTCTGATTCATGAAGACGCATGTCTGCACTTGGATGACGGAAAAACAAGAATTCACGTTCACCATCAGCTCTGAGGGTAACAAACGCCAGTGCAGTTCTGGCCTCGCGGTCAAATCGCATACCAGTATTGTCAACATTGTTTTGTTTCAGAATGTCCGCCAGCATATAGCCAAATTCATCATCACCTACCTGACATTAGATCAGAGAGCATTCAGGATTGAAGGTCTGTCTAAGTAAAAGGAATCATTAACACTAAAGTTGTCTGCACCACAGAAACAGGGGATTGAAGTTGTGCAACAAAAAGCAGAATAACCGGAGCAACAAAACATCTGTGACAAACCATTTTTGAATCACATTTCAGTCCATGCCATTAGTGCATTGCTTCAAAATCATAAGTTGGTTAGAAAACAATGGGCTAAGAAATTACAACCACCGTGCGTTACTAAAAGACAACTTTGTAATTAAATTAGGTTTAAAAAATAACCATTGGCATACTTCATTAATTAGGAAAAAAGAAAATCCAATACTTGCTGCTCTCAATTCTTGGGAACTTGGGATGAGGTAAATAATGAGGGTGAAAGATGTGTTTTCCTGATGATGTAAAAAAAGAATCATGTAAAGGACAAACAAAACAACTTTATGTTGTAAAGACAGAAAACAGAAAGAAATGAAGATATAACAGAGTCATTCAAGCTAAAGGAAAAGATGTTTAAATTCACCTTGCCTATGAAAGCTGATGAACCTCCTAACCTTGATATGCCAACAGCCACATTAGCTGGAGCACCCCCAGGAGCCTTCATGAAAGCAGGTGCTTCAGCCAATGAAACCCCTCCAACAGTCGGAACAAAGTCAATCAACATTTCACCAAAGCAGACAACCAGTGAATTCTTACTTGCGCATTCTCCATTTGCACTAGGACCTTCATTACCACCTATACAGATTCACAGTAGGTAAATATCACAGATATTTTCAGCAAAGTCCATAACATTAAAAACCACAAGAAGTCAAGAACACAGCCAATGCCAATTAGCATGCTACTTCCATGCCGATCTGTCAGCTTTAAAACTTTAGCGCAGCCTATCCATTTTGAACTAGAATCACAGATCTAGATATGTATTCCTTCCTTAAAAGTTCAAAATGCAGGCGTAATTAACATGAACTCAAGGTTAAAAATAAGCAGCTTCCAAAAACTGCAAGCTAGTTTCTTGATCACCATGTCTTTGACAGTGAGATCTTAAGATCATCTCTTGAGATTGCCCCTTTAATCTTCCTAGATCGAGAATTTAACTTGTAGGTTTCATGTAGATGGAGATTTACTGAACATGCATGTATCAAGAGACATAATTTGCATCATAGTAAGATTCAAATCACTACAAAAACTAATCCAAACGAAGATCACAGCCATACAAGAACTAATATAATTAGTTAAGCTGTGTCATATATCATACACATCATAGAAAATGAAAGCAGCCCACATAGGACTTAACGATAAAGAAACAATCACCATGACTGAAACAGAAAACAAAAGATCTATGGTCCTAAATTTGATTTTCACAACAGAAAACAAAACCCATGATAAAAAAACTAAGCAAGAAACAAACTTTTAGGCGTAAAATCTGAAACCCAGTTGCAGAACAACACAATATTGAGCAAATCATTGTCCCATGATGAAGATTCGATCAAGAACAGAGTAAGAAATGAGACGGAGGCTATGCACCTGAAGCATGATTCTCAACCATTTTGAGCTGGGATTCTGGGATTGAATTGAAGAAAGTTCTGTAGCCGGAAGGGGGAATTCTAGAGGTGGAATGTTATATTGTTCCGATCCTGATATTTCGTAGAAGTTTTCAAGATTAAACAAAGTAGTCAAAGACTCAAAGGCGTAAAGAAATTGGATATGCAAACGCCTTTTTCCTATTTATATAGGATTAATTAATTTTCTTGTTTT